ATTATCCAAGCTCTGTTTCTTCCACAAGGATCCTCGTGAGAGTGGAATCCTGACAGTCGGCTGAGAGGGACTTCAGTTTCCACGGAGAACCCACAAAACAGCATCCATGAAGACCCACTTTACACTAGTTATCTTTCCCATTTTTAGTGATGTTATCTACCTCATGTAGCATTTTACCCACATTAAAAGCCTGTGAGATGGATACTGCTGTTAACTCCACATTATAGATGCAGAGATTGTGGTGCAGAGGTGTTAAGTAACTCACCAAGGTAACACAGTCAGTTCGTGATAGGAGCCAGGATTCTAAACACAGACAGTCTGGCTCCAGCATCTCTGTTCTTAACCACTATTATGAAGTACCGTTTTACTTTAAAAAACTAGTCACCCGGTAGGAAAAGCTAGACAGCAAAAAGGGGCAATCGGTATACTTACAGCAAGCTTGTGGAAAAGTCCAGCTTGAGTGCCCACCCACCTTTCTTTGGGTGTTAATGCTACTTGCTGACCTTCAGTGAGAGTTTTCCTTAAATTTCTGGAAAATGCCCACTTTTCAACTTACCATCAAGCCAGAAACACCTGTGTGCAAAAGAGCTGGCCATCTTTGGAATATGGAAATCTCTTGTTGATAGATTCTGCAGTTGGATGTGGTTTCTTTAAATTGCCACCCAGAGCACTGCTTCTGAAGCACATGACGCAGGACCCTTGTGTTTCTAGGCCAGCAATGGCCAAAACCGCTCCAGGGGCTGAAACACGTCCACAAAGAGAGGTTCCCCACTGAAACTAGAATCCATGGCCTCCGGGGCACCACCACCTCGCTGATCTCCTGTTGGAGGAAACTAGCCAGTTGGATGGCTACACATTGTTTAGGGGTGCTGGGCAGTTTTCGTTGTGGCCATTCGGAATCATCGTGCTGACCATACTCATTCTGGCAGAGAACCTGGTTTGGAGATAAGGTTTGAAATGTTTGCTTCCAGCATTGTTGCTCCTGCCTAGAAAACGTTTGCACTGATAACTGTGGGCATTGAGTGTCCATGGAGACGACTCAGCCTGCTGGGGACATGGGGGCACGGGGAAAAGGGGGACAGAGAGGGGACAAGAGGGATTTTATTGATAACATCCAGTCTCCTCTGGAAAAGCCAGGACACCGAAGCCATGCAGGCTTTATTGGGAAAGCCGGGACAAAGAAAATGACGTCAGAGGTACTCATTTAGGAAGGAGAGGGAGCTGCTTCTTTCTTTATGAAGAAAAGTCTATTATTTAAACTCGAAAAACTGCTCAGATACCTTGGTTTCTTGTTCTTTTTCAATAAGCTTTTAAAAATAAAGATTCTGGAAAATTAGCTTCCTTATCATTTAGAGTCTTTATATTAAGTAGATTTAAAAAAAAAAAGAATCTTTAAAATGGTAGTTTTCCCAAGCAATGAAAAAAGTGCTTCATATGTGCTAGATACTGTTTCAAAGTATTTTTTTTAAGTCAGTTTAATCGTCAAAACCGTCATGTAAAGTAGGTGTCTTTGTTTTATATGTGGGGAAATGGGGAAACCAGGAGATCAGAAACTTGCACCAGGTCTCAGAGGTAGAGTTTGGCGGTGCTGGGATTCAGGCCCGAGCATTCTGACCTCAGGATCACCGCCCCGCGTTTAGGGTTCTCGGGGACCTCTGGGTGCCAAGATCAACTGGCAGTAAGGACGGCAGGGATAACATTGGAGTAATAAGACATTATTTGTCGAATGCCTGATTATATATCAAACTGTTTACCCAGGCTTCCTGTACCACAACTCTATGGGGAGGTGACATTTTTATCCATTTTACAGATTGGTATACTGAGGCTTAATGAAGGAAAGGGATTTATTACAGGTCTCACAACTCTCATGAGACAGCATCCCGTTTGCAGCCTGGGTCTGCCTGCCTCTACCCCTTCAGTGAAGCCACCAGGCTTCACTGCCTCTACTTTAGTTGTTAGTTATCACGTTGTAATGTTCCTATATAGTAATGACAAATATGAAATAATCAAAACTCCTCATTAAGTGGCCAGTCTGTTCAGGCTCTAGTAGGCCACGATGGAGTGGGGTAGAAGAAAAGTAGTTGGAAGAGAGAACCATATTAGCACTCCTCCTTCCCTTTACCCCTCCCCGGCTTCCAACCCCAAACCCCTAAGGGAAGGAAACCATCTTCCCTGCAGACATTTCTCTCTAAAAACCACCAGTGTGAGCTTCTACTGGTTCATCTGGCCGTAACACCGTCCCCAGAGAGAGTTCTTTAACGGCAGCATATAGATGTGCACAGCCCTTAATGAGAACTGATGCCGCCGCTGGTCAGCAGACTGGCAATTGAACAGAGTGTTTGTTCCTATCGCTCCATGAGAGTTTCCTTGTTGAGCGAATATGTGTGAATTAGAATATTTCCTTTTCTATTCACTCTGCCTCCAAATATGCGATCAACAGAGTTCCCACGTGGCTTAAACATACAATATACACATAATTTTGCATGTGAACACCCCCTGGGATTCAGAGCATTCTGTGTCTGTCTGTCTCAGATTCCCTCCTCCTCCCTCCCCCATGGGTTTTTTTCCCCCCATTAGGCAAATGGAAGGCCCATGCCACCTGTTAGCATTACATCATTGGCTCCCCAGAACACAGTTGTACCAAAGGCCTTAAACAAAGTAGTTCTTCTTGTATTGTTTGCACTCAAAGAGCTGATATCATGCCAACTGATGTCATTGTATGTCTTTGTGTAACTGCTATGGCAACTGGGCAGGTGGGGAGCCTCCAGCTGATGTCATTGGGAAAGGAGGTGTTAGAGACAGAATTTTAAAAAGCTGTATGCTGCTTTTTTCTGTGTGTGTGGTTTTCTGGCATGCATTTTTTTTTAAGCTAGCTGCTTTTAAGACAAATTACAGCCTGAGTACCCTAAGTAAGAACAGAGAGAACCCCCTCAACCCACCCCCTTCAAGACTTCTTTTGAGTTTTTTTTTGTTGTTCTGTCCTCTCATCTTATATGGAAAAGTGTAACAACTGTCTTTTTCTTAAGGGGGAAAAAAAAAGTGAATTAGGTTCCCATCACAGAACCAGTGTGGAACTCTTAACTCAGATTTTATGGAGACAAAGCTGAGCAGATTTTAAAACAACTCTTTAAAGTCTCTTTTGTGGAGGTGACAGTGGGTAATTTCAAATTTTTGTTTAGATATTCACTCATGAACTTTTTCTGGTGGCTTCCATTTCTTCTGTCTACTTTAAAAATGATCTCTTTGGATCCAAGAAAACTTTTTTTAATCATTATTTCATATCAGAATAAACTAATAATACGTCAAGCCAGAGTTTAATTCTAGAAATCCATTAAAATGAATTTATAGTTCCTGTTCTTCTTTTCAAAAAGCGAAGGTAGGTTTCAACACTTACAGGTGATCATAACATTACCCCCATCGTATGAGCTCTGAGTCATTGCCGGGTATACATGAAAACACGACTTCTCTGGTCCATGCGACCCACGTGCATTGGCTCTAAGCGGCCCTGAGACTTGGTCTGGGTTACAGTCTGGGGCTTCCTGCTGTGGTTGCCAAAGATGAGACTCAAAATGGAGAAGGACATATGTTGGGTTCAGAAACCAGCGGACAGATAGACTTCCTGTATTTATTTCAACACAGCCATATCCTGTTCACACTTTATGTTTCCTCCCTTATCTGCTGAAACTATCAAGACAGAAGTAAGGCATCTCTCTGGGCTGGGGTGGGGGAATGTTGGTTGTGGTGGCTTTCAGCTTCTAGGAGATCTCCAACTTCCCCCTCTGTTCAAAGGGAAGGCCAGGGTGTATCCAGTGGATAAGAATTAGAACTCATTTGGTAGTAATAACATCAACTCAGATTTCATAGTCCTTCCATGTATAGTGTGTAGCTTGACCTTTGTAATAATCCTTTGGGCTTATCCATGTGTGCCATGCATCTAACAGATATTAAAGAAAAAGTTGAAACAATAAACTGTGATCCAAAAATTTCCTAACTGAAACAAGTGTTCTTTCTTGCATGGTTCTTCAGCTTTTGAGCACATGGATGGTGAATGTTTTTGAATTGGCTTTTTTCATTTAATATGAAGTAGAAACATTTTCTTAATTCTCACGTTCCTTTCACAACTTTTAATGGCTACATAATATTCTGTTGGGTAAATATGACAACTTTTCCCTTTAAAAAAATGCTTTTGAATTTTACTTGGCTTTTCCAGAAAACAGATACTGCCGTTGCAAACATCTTTATGCATCTAACTGGATATCCTGGGACAGATGATTTCCTTAAGACACCTTGCCATGAGTGACACGGCATTTGATGAGGGGGAAGTTTGCACATTTTACATGCACTGGTTCACTCCAGGCTCCCAATCACACTAACAGGTATATGCCATTACCCTCATTTTACAGATGGGGAAATTGAGGCACAGAGAGAGAAATTAACTTATCCAGGTCACAGACTGAGGAAGTGGTGGAACTGGAATGATAGCCACGATAATCTGGTTCTTCCAAGGTCCCTGCTCATAACCACCCTGCTGTACTTGGCGCAAACTTGGCCTCCCGGGTGATGTGAGCTTACGAAGGGCGCAAGACACGCCCCTGCACTACCCAGATACTGGCTGAGATCTCTGCCAGAGGAAGTCATCCGTGCCTTCCTGGGCGCCCAGAGTACAAGGTTCTATATAGGCCACTGAGCATATGGCTCTTTGAGGCAGATCAGATTTGCTGCTAATGAAATTTCCTGATGCTTCATGGAACTCTTTCCAGGGGCACATGCCCCAGTTTGTATTAAGAGCACGTTTCCAAAGTCCTGCGTGTAGGGATACCTTCAAAGTTTGCGCTGGGTCTTCAAATCGCCTTTTGTTTGTTTTGGTTCTCTTTTCTTTTCTTTTTTTTAAAGGTAGTAAGCAACCACGCACACTCATTCCTATGGGGAAAGTGGCGTTTTCTGCCAGCTCGGAGGTTCTGGGGCGGTAGTCATTCTCCCTTGCTGTGTTTTTGTTCCAGGTGGACTTAGCAGTTTTAAGCAGAACCATGAAAACCTCTGTGACAACTCCCTCCAGCTCCAGGAGTGCCGGGAGGTGGGGGGCGGCGCGTCCGCGGCCTCGAGCACGGGCACGCTACCTCAGCCCGTCCCCAGCACCCCCGACATCGAGAACGCAGAGCTGACGCCCATCCTGCCCTTCCTGTTCCTTGGCAACGAGCAGGATGCTCAGGACCTGGACACGATGCAGCGGCTCAACATCGGCTACGTCATCAACGTCACCACGCACCTGCCCCTCTACCACTACGAGAAGGGCTTGTTCAACTACAAGCGGCTGCCGGCGACCGACAGCAACAAGCAGAACCTGCGGCAGTACTTTGAAGAGGCTTTCGAGTTCATCGGTAACTGTCTCCCCCGGGGCTGCTCATCTCCCGCCGTCCTTTCCCCTCTGGCTTTTGCTTTGATAGCAAGTCCAAGATTTATGCCTGTGTTGCGGAAAAAAAAAAAAAAAAAAGCTGCTCTGAGGTGTTCTCGGGCTCGGCCACCTGGTGCAGCCAAAGTATGCTCCCCAGTCATAACCCATCAGGTGTATGGGAGCCATCAGGTTGGATAAAACAGAACCATAATTCAATTGGGTTGGGGTCTTTCAACTAGAAACCCTCATCCCTCAGGTTCTCAAAGGAAAGGGGGTAGGGGTTAGCACTGAGATGCTCTATAATGTAACGTCAAAAGAACTGGTGGAAAGTAAGAATTTGGCGGCCAGAGCAGATGGCGCGGTTTTGAGGTCTGCAAGCATCCTTCTGAGCTTTGCAGGCAGTAAAACACAGTTGGCCCTCGGGGTCTGCGGGTTTCCCATCTGAGGATTTGTGGATTTGGAGAGCTGACTATACTGTACCATTTTATATAAGGGCCTTGAGCATCCATGAATTTTATGGGGGGAAGGAGTGTCCAGGAACCAATACCCCACAGATCCCAAGGACTGGCTGCATTGTGAATATGATACCACTTCCAAAATCACCCTCCCCTCCTTTACTTGGAGTTAAATTAATTTGCATCTGGTACAGCCTCTTTCCATGAGGCTGGGGCGAAGGTAGTGCTTGCTACATGGGTGTTTCTGAAGGATTTTTCTCAGTAAAACATGATGTTGCAGTGGACATCTTTATGCATCACATCAGTGCAGAGGAGAGAGAGAGAAGTGCAGGGGGCTGAGGAGTGTTTCCCTTCTGTTTCCTTTGTCTCAGTTCTTAAACATGGGGCCGCCAAAGGGCACGAACGTGAGTGCTAATGAGATGGCCCTAGATTTCCTTAGTTTACTCCAGACTCATTGAAGTAGGAGCCAACAAATTGCATAGCCCATGTTGTTCCCCAAAAAGGAAAATTCTAGCAATAGCAGGCTTTTAATCTCCAGAAAGAAGCAACGGCCAGCCTAACCCTAATTCTAAATGTGGACTTCCATTGCTTCTGTAGCCTCAAACTGTTGCAAGGCTCAAATTACCATTTGGGGAGCACCTGGCACCTCGCAGGTACGCAACGTCTTTTTTTTTCAGGTGACTCCAATCTTTCTTACCATGCAGAGGTGACCCAGTACTTTTCCTAAATATTGTAGCAGATTGTTACTGGCCTCTGTCTCAGGAAGAAATGTCTCAGAATAAACTCTATGAAATATCTTATTTAGAAAACCAAAAGATAAGCCCCAAACTGAAAAAATGTATTTGCAAAATACATAGCTGATGAAGGATTTGTGTTCAAATTGTACCAAGAACTCTGGAACAAGAAGCCCCATCAAAAATGGGTAAAGGTTGGAACAGACACCTGGCCAAAGGAGATACACAGAGAGTAAATGAGCAAACAAGGATACACTCAACATCATGTACCAGTAGGGAATTACAAATTAAAAAGACAATGAGATAGCCCTACACACCTATGAAATGACCCCTCCCCCGCCAAAAACAGACACTACTGGTTGATGAAGAGTGAGGAACAAGAGGAAGACTCCTAAAAAAATAACAAAACGAAAAACTAAGTAAAACAGAACAAAAATGAGGAGCCCTCATGTTTGGTGCTCCTCTGTCAGGAAAAAAATAAAAGACATAACAAACAAACAAACAAAACCTTGGGTTTAATAGCCACCCATCAGGGTAGGTGGATGTGCTGCAGAGCTGGCAACTCTGGTGACTTTGCCCAGGTATTTCCTTTCTAACTGTGCTTTCAACACAGGACCATGCAAGGACAGTCTGGAAGGAAATTCTGAGTGGTCACTGAACTCAGAAAAGTAACATGACTTCTCCAAGGTCTTAGGAATTTTAGTATCAGAGAAGGGGCCAGAGCCTGGTGCCTTTGACTCCAAGGCCAGGGGCCTTTTTGCAATACACCAGGGCAGTGTTTACAAGTTCCTAATGGGCCACATTTGTGGTTGCAAAGATAATCTAGATTCTTTATTACTAATCTCTGAATCAAACCTTGAACCCTGGGAAAGAAAATTTGTCGCCAAGTAGATGAGGAACTTCCTGGTAGATACATGATGTTATGCCTGCAATTTTACCTGACTTAATTCCAGTTGGGGGAAGTTAGGAAATCGTTTTCCACTTAATGAGTAGCATAAGATATGCTTGTTCTAAGAGGATTTCAATCAAAGCACCCACATTCCTTGTAGATTATTCAGGCTTACCTGGTTTTTGCGGAAGGAAACAAAACAAATAGTAAATAGCTTTTAACTTGGAAAACAATTTCCCATCATGGCCTGCACAGGCATGGTTTTTTATTTTCATTGCTCCATCATTAGATAAACTGAAATCTTACAGTCTTGCTTTAAGGAAAACACAGCTGGTTTTATAAACATAATAACATCCGCAGAGAGTGTAATATAAACTAAGCAGAGTCTAGGTTTAGGGTTTAACTCTGCCCATTTATTTATTCCTGAATTGGGTGATATTATTCCCATGCTCCCTAAGCCTGCTTAGGGAATGTTATTCCCATTATTCAGACAGGAAGACTGAGGCTCTGGGGAGTCGTGACCCACACAAGGTCCACCACAAGGGGGAACCAGTGGTCTCACACCTAGCACTTTGTGGCTCATCTTCTTACCACCAAGCTTGCCAGTCTTCAGGTGGAGATCATTAAATAGTATGTGCTCAAGAGAAGAAATTGAAAGCAGGAAATACTTTCCCAAAATACTATTATCTATGAGAAAGAAGCTAAATCTCTAGATTTTTAAGATAAAAACTTGCATGATGTTTCTTTCTTTGGTCTATTGGTGAGTAGCCGACAGAAGTAGTTTATGTTAGAACGCTCTCTCTCCATTCCTGCTCTTCAACCAGTTGGTAATTTTTGCAGGGATGCTTTCTTTGGGATGATTTTAGTTTAGAATGTCATTAAGAATCCATTTAGGCAGTGCCCACAAGCTCTTCTCCTGGGCTTTTGATATATCTGAAAACCTTTACAGTATTACCTTTTCCATTGTGCTGGATTCTGAGCCATCACTGGAATTCCTCCTTGTTCTGCATCATTGCCATGTTGGAAAGGCACGCGCGGATGTGGAGGGGTTGGAACTGTTCAGATGTAGGTGACACCCTATGTTTGAGCCCTGCAAGTCTTTAACTTGCAACAATAGGGTTTTCTAGTGAGAAGCTGAACATAGTAACTTTCTAGTTGAGTTTTGTTCCTTCTACCTCCTTTAGAGTTTCATAAGACTGAAACTCTTATCCATTCAACACCAGTTCCTGTACAGAGCAATTCTATCGTATAAAAAGGAAATTTTTTTTCCTCTATCACAGGTGGGAGAGACATCGTCAGTAGCACTAGTTTTGATAAATCCCACGACGTGGTGATAGGAATTAACGTCCTTCATCAGAAAGCCCTCCTGAATCAGTAGCTTGCTTAACATTTAAGCTAATTGGGTCGTGACTCCCACTTCACTTGGCCGCCATCACGTGTGAAGTTAACTTTGTGAATGACTCATTCACCCTGTCTTCTCTTTAAATGTAGAAATATAGCTTCTTATATGTGCTAACATTGCTGTTAGCCAGTTCTGGACGTAGTGACATAAACATACACAATTAACTGGTAAATTATACTTTGATTCAAAACCGTTTTCATGAATTCTTTCTCTACAGCATATGGCATTGTCGAGTCGAGATAAAAGGTTAACCTCTCTCCTTCCCTTTCTCTTTCTCCTTCTCTTCGCCTCTTGCCTTTTTCCCTTGCTCCAGAGGAAGCTCACCAGTGTGGGAAGGGGCTTCTCATCCACTGCCAGGCGGGGGTGTCCCGCTCAGCCACCATTGTCATCGCTTACTTGATGAAACACACGCGGATGACCATGACTGATGCTTATAAATTTGTCAAAGGCAAACGACCAATTATTTCCCCAAATCTTAACTTCATGGGGCAGTTGCTGGAGTTTGAAGAAGACCTCAACAACGGCGTGACACCGCGAATCCTTACACCAAAGCTGATGGGCGTGGAGACGGTGGTGTGACGGCAGTCTCGCTGGAAAGGATTACTGTTCTCCATTAGGAGACGAAGAGGAAGGAGGATGGATTCGTTCTTTTCTTTTCTTTTTTCTTTCTTTCTATTTTTTTTTAAGATGGGGATAAAGGTTGTGAATGGAGACAAACTTGTTTAAAAGCCTTTTTATTTTTAACAAGTGTGAGAAGAATTTAACTTTTGATGCCATTGAAATTTACTTCCCGCGAACTGACAAAGCAGGGAGGCTAAAGAAGTGATTTTTTTAAGCCGACGATAAAAATATGATCAAACTCGTTTCTCCCCCTTTTTCCTTTTAAGCTATTTGTAGAATTTACGATGAATTAGTCTGTGCAGGTTCATAGACCGAAGATGCTACACTTTAAACCAATTAAAAAGAACCAAAAGTTAGTAGACAAGACCTTGAATCGTGAAGACCCGGGATCTGCCTGGACGGTCCACACAGAAAACAAAAACCCAACCAAACCAGGCCCTGTTGTGCTCAGCGGTGCAAAGAGAAGACCAGGGCAGCTTAAGTGGTCTAAGAACTCTTCACACTCGTCAAAGAGGCAAAGGATACTGTTGATTTTGTGTGTTTCATACTCCGGATTATTTTTCTCCCTTTCTGGGTTTCAGAGGTTTTTTGAAATAGCAAGGAACTGACCATTATACCATATGCCTTCACTGGCTTCTTGTGCAATAATGTGGTGTTTTGAGTGTGCAAACGAGTTAGAGCTGGCAGCCGAATGACAGACAAATAGTGCAACGTTGCCAGTTTGGAGATAGAGAGGGATTAAAAGAAACCAGTTACTTTCTTTCCCACCTTTTCCCTTTGTTTAATTTTCTTTTCTTTGATTTGACTCTGGTTACAGTGCCATAAACCTTGTTACATATGTATATCAGAATGTAAAAAAAAAAAGACAAAAATTTATTTAAAAATATTTTTCGCAAAAAAAAAAAACTTGGTGTGTTTCTGTTGATTGTGTAAAAATTTATTTTCATTATATAAATGAAACTCATTTGGAGATGTGTCTTTTTTCCTCCTCTTTCCTCCTCAACGTAGGCTTAAGCATCTCTTACCTCTGGTAACTTGTACGTGTTACCCCAGTGGAAATAAACACACATTTTCACACAGGGGAAGAGCGATGGGGAAGGGAAAAATACTCTCTGGCCTCAGTGTGAAGCAGAGAGAATTAATAAGGATGTAAAAGAGCTCCAGTCAGTCCAGTCATGATCCCCTCTATTGTCACAGCCCCACCATCCACTTCTGCCAAAGTAATTCCTCTTACAAACCAGAAGCCTCGGGTAGCATCTCCTGAAAGGAGTGAGGGGCCTCGACACCAGCCTCTGAGCATTGGTGACGAGGTCACTGCGAGATTAATTGGTTAGAAGTCCGTGATCTCCCCAGTGGCTCTTTGGTAAATATTTGTGACGCTCTGCCAATTAAGGGTCTTGACACCCCTCCGCCTCCACTGTCATTTTCTCACTTGGCATCTTTGGTGACAGTGATCGCCGAGTGTGCATTGCAACATGTTGCTAGTTCCTACTCTTCTGCCAGTGAACTGAGTTCATCTTCGTAAGCGCGACTTCGCCGTCACACCTGCTGAACGCATAGCTGGTGTTCCACAGGTTCCCAGTCCACGGAGGAGCAGTAAGGGCTGGGTAGGGGAAGAATACAATCCACGTGTTATTTTATGTTTTATTAAAATAGATGCCTAGAGGGAACTGGCTACAAGGAAGATTCACAGCAAACTGAAATTTGCCTGGGGTTAGTAAAAGAGTTGAAGAATTTGAGCATTTTCAATTCTGTAGGACTTCATTTAGAGATACCATTTTTGTGAACATTTTCTGACAAATGTGATGATGGAATATGTTTTGACACTTAAAAAAAAAGCTTTTCTAGTAGAAGTGATTTAACTTTTTTTTTTTTTTACCTAGAACAGTAGAGACTGAATTTAACAGGAGTTAACTGAGAGCTGTTTTGAATTATTTTGGTTTACTACAAAGTGTTAAGGTGAAAAGCCAGTCTCTTATGGTGCCTTCTGCTCTTCAGACTAACAATTTTCTTTGTGCTAGAAGATATTTAAGGAACAGGGGGTGATACATCACTGGTAATTTAAAATACACGATGATTTACTAGATGGTTCTTTTGGTTTATTCTAAGTCCAAATGTTAAAGTTCTGATAGTGTAACATTTATTCCCTTTCTTTTTTTCCTTTTTTCTTTTTAACAAAACAAGGCAAAGAATCAATATAGTTTCTCTTCTTTAACTACAGGGAAATAATTTATGTTTTTTGAACTTTCTGATTTTGAGAACAAGACTGTCCTGGGGCAGATAGGAATCCTGCCAACCAGCATACCAAGAATTCTGAGAGAGACTCAGGTCTTTTTCGCTAATCTGTTTTGAGTCACTTAGCCTCTCTTTCTTCATGAGGAATGTTAACCACTTCGTGGAAACAATATGGGTTAGCCGAGCCATTGTTCTAGGAAACAGACTCCCTACGTTTTGTTACCGAACCAAACTTCGATCTGCTCACCCATGCAGTAAAGCCAGTCTGCTGACACCAGGTCGTGGTGAAGGAAAGTGCAGTGTTTATTGCAGGACACCAAGCAAGGAGTCGAGGGCAGCTGACACTTAAAAAGCCCTGACTCGCTGATGGGTTTCAGTGAAGCATTTTTAAAGGCCAGGTGAGGGAGGCGTCCCAGGGTATGTGGTCAGCTTGTGCACAGTTCTCTTGTTGATGATGAAGTAGCAGGGCGGTGTCACAGGGGTTGACATCATCAGCCTGTGGCTTCCAGGGGGCCTGGGGGCTGTGTGCTCATGATCATTGAGTAGTTAACGTCTTCCGTTTGCCAGGAGTTACAGCATCTGCAGAGCAACTCAGGACATGTGCCTCAGACACTATTACATGGGTGCTGCAGAGAGGATGTAGAGCAGCGGATACGGGGGAGAGGCCTGTGCCACGGAGGCCCCACAGGGTCCTGCTCAGTTAAAGCTTCTGGGCCTCAGTGGTCCCTGGGAGCTTTGAGGCTGAGGTGGGAAATTCAGTGTTGTCTTCTGAGAAGCAGAGTCTGACTGACAGACGCATGCATCGCTCTCAGAATCCAGTGAGGGCTGTTTCATGCCGGATAAACTTAACAATTTAATAGAATGAGCCTATAACTTACCTAATTAAAAAAGAGCAGATGCAACAGGCATTGCTACTTTACATGAAACAGAACGGCAGCTTCAGCTCCTCTGTAAGCATTTATTTCCACAGTTAATACATTTCCAATCAATGGATGTTAACCAGGATATGGAGTTCATATTTCACGGAAAAGCCTGTGCCAGCCGCTTTTGAATAAGGACAGGTAGGGTAGGAGGTGGGACAGGGCAGCTGATAAATGGAGGCCATGAACAAGGGGAGATATGAAGGGAGAAATCTACCGAACCCATCAATTACATATTGATAGCGAATGAGGAAAGATAACTTTCCAAAGGGTGATAAAATACAGGGAATAGGAGAAACTGGGAGCTTATAATTAAAAAAAAAAAAAAACAAAAAACGACAACTCTCTCAGAGTAAAGAGCTAGGAAAACGGAATCATACTTGTGAAGTTAAGATAGAATGCTGGTAAATGGCTCAAGCCAAACTGAATAGAGATCAAGCAATAGGGTCGTCACCCTGTTTGTGAGTAGGCTTTGGTAAATAAGCCACAAGACATTATATCTATGTTTAATTGCCCATGCGTGTAACATCCAATCTCAGGAAATATGGATTGATGTTGGTTTTAAGTTCTAATTGGAGACTGTTGTAATGTGTGGATATGTGTGAATAAGAGGTGAAAAATGACGAGGAAAGCATTTAGAAACAACTGTCCAAAATTAAATCTGTCTAAAGAAGACTTTCTGACTTTATGGAGTGGAGACTCTGAATGCCAGGGTTTCCTTCGTTCCCAATTTCTTCCTCTGTGACAACCTTTGCCAGTGTTTGGAGGAAGACACGTGGGATAAGACACTCTGCGCCTAGTGAAGAAGTCAGTGGGAGTGTGTTGCCTCCATGTGAATGATGGGCTGAAGTCTCTGTGGGTCAGCAGAGCTAACGGGGACAAAAGGTGGGCATGAAATAAAGGAGAATGAGGAAGAACTGGAATTAGGAGGGAAAACCAGAGCCCACATTTGCCTTTTACCAACCTCCATGATGTGGGTGACTTTGGAGAAGGATCTCGTGCCCTTTCCCACGTTGCGGAATGTATACGTGGTGCAGGACCTGTGAAGCAAAGGAAGAGCTCTGGAGAGAGCTTTAGGGGCTGCAGTCACAGCTGCAGCCTTAAGTTGAGGGGAGCTACCAGGTCAGTGAAAACTTGTGCCAGTTACCATAGTGCTCTCTTCAGAGTGTGACGGCTGCTGCTTCACTTCTGCCTTCCAAATCTCATGCAGATTTCTCTTAAGGCTAACCTTGACCCAGTGTGAGACAGGAAAAGGAATTCTGGGAAATGCAGTTTCTGATTTAGCTAAGTTGATACTGGACAAAACCACCACAGTCCATTCCTTGCCAACTTTCCGTCCATTTACACTTCTTTGAACCATATATATGTATCTTCCAAGCAAAGACATTAGAAAATGATGTTTTCACCTGATAAGATGCCACTATCACCTCTGCATTGACAGGACACTAACCCTTCCTCCAAAGGAGAATGCATGGCCTCATGTGCTAATATCCATTTCGGGGTGATGTTCGTGCCTCTTGTACTTGAGATCCACTCTCCCTTTGATATCCTGTAATTTAAAACTGAGATATAAGGATATTATAGATTAAATTGCATTTGCCAAAAAGATGTTTTTGACATTTAAATCCCAGACGACATAAATGTGTGATCATATTTGGAAATGGAATCTTTGCAGAGGTAATCAAGTTTTTAAAAGGTCATATTGGATTAGGGTGGGAGCTAATCCAATTACTGGTGTAATTGGACCAATCCCTCTTATAAAGAGGGAAACTTGGACACCAACAAAGGAACCAGTGCTGGCTGATTATACTAGAAATGGTCCTATTTCAGGGGGTTGGTGATCAGTCTTTGTTCTGGGTGGGTTGGATGCTCAGCAGTGGCTATAGCCAGATTAGACATGATAATGGAAATTCACGTTGCTGAGCCCATGCATAGCCTCCATCTCTGCCACCATGGCTATTTTGTTCATGAGCCCGTTGGTCCAGGACAAGAGTGATTGAAGAAAGAGACTTGACAGAGATTCACAGAATGTGTCACCTTGACCATTATTAAGATCCTTCTATGCTGAGGTTGAGCTTCATTGAACAGTAACATGGTCAGTGCCATTGAGGGAGTTCTATCCATTTACTTCTTCCCCAGACTTTTCTGTCACCAATTTTCCAATGATGTTTCCTTAAAGTCCTTGATTATCCATATAAACCATTATCTACTGCTTATGAAGCAAAGTAGATTTATATCTCCGGCTATCTCTCAGACAAAATGAACAACCAGGTACACTGCTGGAAGTTCTGCCCACTGGGAAATTTTTCCTTCCACACTATCATCCTTGGCCACCCCAGCATGGGTCTGCAGTGATTTAACCATCTATTTTAGGATGATACCAGGATATCACACAAAACTCTGCAATCAAGGTCAGGTATTTTTCTTTCAGTCTGCTGGTCACAGAGAACTTCCCATGAAGTCATAAGTGTGAGTTCAAGGAGGTAATGTAGCAGAAACGAAGACCATGAGCATTTGGGGCACTTGTTTATTCAACTTACTTGTATCTGATTTCACATATTCCAATTCCACTTGATAATGGAATCATGTTATTCCTGTCCAACTTAGAGGCTTGGAGGGTCAACAACATTTAGTTGTTTATGAACAATTTGGGTTGCATTATAATTTGATGGTCCATAATAAAGCTTCCAGCTTCAAACTGCTATTCAAAAAAGGATA